CGGATCATGTTGGTTCTCCTACTCAACCATTCAGTTCAGAGATAGCCAGATGTTGTTTAAAACTGAGTGTTTTGCTTGATAGGGTTCAGTGCCCTTGGTGTTGCTAGAAACAGTCCTTCTGAGTAAAATTAATTAACAAATATACACAGATTAATATCAGTGGTCAAGGGGATCTGACTAAAGTATATGTATTTGTACTTGAAAAGGGATTTGATATTATTTGGGAAATAAATGATACTAAGACATGACAAGAAGTTAGATCATCGAGTGATGTAAGTGTAGCAAAACTGACAAGGTGGAAAGTGTCCCTATTATAGACTCACTCAGCAGAAATGTGACCTTTAATAAAACAATGGTAACATTACCATGATCGCCCCTAGGCATTGTCACTATCATAAAAGCTCCTGTCATATTGTTGTACAGCAGAGTTCTAGACACAAGTAGTCTTTGATAAATGATTACATTTTATCTCTATTAAGTTAATATATTAAATTTTAACAACTTTCCAGAGCTTACTCAGCCTCATCATTTCTTGGATTCTATCTCCTGTATTAGTCCCTTCATCCATAAGAAATAGAGTAATTATGGGACTTCTGGGAAAATTGATATCAATCTTTTAAAAAATCAGTGTTTATGAAATTATTTTTAAATTTTAAATAAAATAGCACATCAAAGTTGAATATATTCTCATTAGTATGTGTTCTGTTTAAGCAAAACTAGAATTCAAAATTTGAGTCTCAGCAAATCAATAGTAAACATTACTAAACTGGAATAAGGAATGTTGACAATATGTGATTTATGTGTAGCCTTATCCAGGATATACCCAGATAGTTACATTCTAAACATGAAATATTTTATTATGTCAATCATGACACTGCTTGTAAAGTCTTCAGGTATTTGAACTATGTACTGACTAAAGAGATTAGGCTGTCCCTCTTGTATACTGGCAAACAATTTTAAAACAAAATTACTCACTGTACAAGATAACTTATCAAAATTAGGAGTATAAAGTGACTATTTCAGATTGCATGCATGTTGAAAACATTCTCTATAAAAACATGACCCTCTATTTAAGAATTTTTGAATTATCCAATTCTGAGATATTGAAAATTTAAAAATTGATCTATAATGACCCAAGAAACCATTTGTACATCAGTAGTTCAGCTATTTCCAAACATTTTCTGTGCGAATATTTATAGAGCCTATAACAGCAGCTGCATTGGACCAAGGTGTTAACCGTTGTGAGAGTCCCGAAGGTCCTTAGATTTTTGAACCCTTACCATCCCTGTTCCTATAATTCCTTCCCCTTCCTGTGGGTTGCATTTAGTGACTCAAATAAACAAAAAGCAAAAGGATGTTAATGCTGAGATGAGACTATGAAAAGATAGCACCCCTCCATCTCTTTGTCTTTCTCTCCCTCTGTCCCTAAGGAATTGCTTTGGCAGAATAGATGCTTATTCCCAAGAGCTTCCCTGAAGGTAAGGCTGCCTGATGAGCACTTGAAACAGAATCATCTCTCTGCTGCTGGCTCCAGTGAAGACAGAGCTTATCAGAGAGATTTACCCAGCAAAGTCACACTTGGTCCTGACTCCCTAGTAGGTCTGAGATAACAAATGCTTCTTGTTTTAATCTCTGAAATAATGAGTAATTGTATGTGATATGACAAAAATCACATAGTTCTTTAGCGAAAAAAGGCAACAGGAGTACTTACATGTATTTTTATTTTATTTTATTTTTTGATATCAGGGATAGAACTTGTACGATGTATTTTTATATGCATGAGTTTTATATATTTACTGGTAGCTGACTTAAATAACACTTAAATTATAAAGTTTTGTTTGAACAAGATAATGCAGCTTATTAGAATGAGCCAAGCAAAACCACTTTCTTATTTCTGTCCCCTTATGATATGGTCTTAGTATTGTCTATTTGTTTAACTTTTCACACCTGCTTTATGAATAAACACATGAGGAAATAAAACCTCCCCAGATTCCTCAGTGTTCCTAGAAAAAGCCCTAACTTTCAGACTCTTCAAGTGCATTTAGAATTGGATCTATCACTACCCTTTGTCCAAGTAAATACTCTAATCCAAGATGGTAAGAAACTTCCATATCAAGGAGAGAGTAAACTGTTAGAGCACAGAACAAATCCTAAATTGAACTCCAGCCTTGAAGAATAGAGAGGTGCATTACAGTTCTGAGAGGACTCAGGAAGGGAGGGGAAGGCAGAAGGGATCGGGGAGGGGAGGAGGGGAAAGCAGCTGTCTTACTCCTTTTCATGAGCAGAGGGAAATCATTTTACCTTACTTGGAACCTAACAACTGCCCACCTACTAGAACAGGAACAAATTCTATCAGTTATTATTCTGTTGCCTCAAAGATAAAGTCTGGGACAAAGAGGCATTGGCATATTATTGTGTATTGTGGGGAATTTAATAAAAAATCTGTCTCTGATCCATACATCTCTTGTGGCCATTTAGGAAATTAATGAAGTTTAGTATTAAAAACCAAGCAGCAGGGTTAAGTTCTGAGCTTTTATGGGATTTTTTTTTTTTTCTGAAATGAGTTGGTTTTGAAGCATTAAGCTTGCAAAAGAATTTCTTGTTTAAATCAAGTTTGCATTAAACAAATTAGTTATTAAAAAATTTTTATGATATGGAAGACAGATTCAGAAAAATTAACATTAGAACACTAAATTCTTCTCATATTTGACTATTTGCTTACTTTTTGGTATGCTTTTTTTTCTCTTTAGCATCGTATGGCACTGAACTCTTTGGATATTTAATCAGCAAAACACAATATTACACCTTTTCCTTTGTTACCTAAACAATTTCTTCCAAAGTTAACTTTCATAATGATAATAATGATAACTAACACAAGGCTTACTAATTGTCAAGCCAGCAATATATCTCATATTTATGTTGATTCACAGATTTCATGCTGATTCATTTAATTTATGTAGTTACCACAAAGGGAAATAAATATATTTATAGGTGAGGGAACTTATGCTCAGAGTATTTCATAAGTCCAAGGACACATAGACAGTAAACCAGATGCTATTTGACTTTAGCTTTTGTGCTCATATCATTATTATACTGATTAGGATAATTTCAAACGCTATTGTGAAGGACATTATACTGCTCAGTATCTTTTTTTGGTTCTGGTGGTTATTTTTTTGATGTAATTTTTATTAAGGTGGAACAAGTTATTAGAGGGAGCACTTTGTTAACGTACTAATCACTGGGTTGAATTTATGCATTTGTGAAGTAACTAATACTCATGCATTAAAAAGTGAGAGTGTTAAGTGCTGAGAGAGGTGGAACATGCAGTCATCCTTCGTAGGGTGGGGTGGGAGGATTTACCTAAGACACCTGCCCACAGATGATCAAGACTGCTAGAAGCCAGCCTAGTATATGCTTATCACCGATGTATACCCTTCTTCATATTTTATGATTATTTACTAACATTTAATAATACTTAAAATCTATGTAATTCTTATACTGAATGGCTTAGGGAATAATGACAAAGAAGGCAGTCTATATAGGTTAATTATGGGTGCAACCTACGTTTTGCCAAATATTTTTGATCTGCCTTTGATAGAATCCTTCCAAGCTAGACCCATGTGTACTGATGGACTGCACGGATAAGAAATAAAGCTGGGTAGAAGTTAATTATGATTAACAAATATTTTAAACATCAATTTGTCAGAAATATAATATAAAACAATATTCATTTTTTTCTTTTTTTTCAGCTTTAGTTGAGTTTATTGGTACATTTTAGGGATACAGTACAGTTACATTCATTGTTGGGATCTTGTACCTCTACATGACAGGTCTTGATTCTCATTTTTTCCCCTTACCCATGCCCTCCCTTCACCCCCTCCTGCCCTCACCATCTACAAACACTTTATTTTCATCTTTTCATTATCTCACATTTTTTTCTTTTCACTTATTACCCTTCCCCTACCATCCCACCTTCCCTAAAAACATTCATTTTATGTACAAAGTGAATTTAAAAGTAGTGAGTTTAAATTCTGGCTCTCTCTTAAAACACAACTATAGTTATCTCTTGCTTTCTTTTGCCTATATCATTATTTGGATAAAATATTTTGGAACATGTAAGACAATGCACAGGAGACAGTTTAATGAATATGACCCTATAATTCTTCAAAGAAGCAAAAACGAAAACTGTATATTATGCCTATGCAAATGTATACTAGTGAGAATTCTTTCATTATGACCAAAACAGCTTATAGGAAGAAATGATTATTTTGGCTCAGGGGTTTAAGTTCATAGTCTGTTGACTCTAAGGCAGAAAAATCACGGTAGGACTTTGCAGAAGAAAATTGCTCAAGCCTTGACAGGTAGGAAGAAGAGTAAGGGAGAGAGTAAAAAAGAAGTGGTTGGAGAAAAGATAAACCAGTCAGAACCACAGCCTCAGCGAGCTGCATAATCCATAGGCCCCAGTTTTCAATCGATCAAGTGGGCTACGAACTCATCAGTAGATTCATCCATTGATAAGGTTTTCACTCTCAAAGTCCAATGAGCTCTGTAAGCACCAACTCTGGGTGTTGCTACTTTAGAGAAAAACCCTCAATCCATGAATTGTTGGATACCACATTTTATTTAAGCCATAACAATTTCCCCTAGACGCCTGTCTCATGGTGGTCTTACAATGCCATCTCCATCTCCGTCTCTAAGAATCCCTCTCAAAGAGTTCGCAAGTCTCACAAGGTAAAGAATTTCTCAAGAGGAACAGTGCAGACTGGTGAGGAGTGGAACCATGTGGGTGTCCCTGAGGCACTACCCCAGCCCCCCGACCCCACCTCTGGCCTCCTGGTTGTTCCAGTACCTAGATCCACACAGCAGAGGAACAGCGGGTCATAAAGGCCATTGTTCTGAGCTCCAGAAGACAGAGGAGAAGTAAACAACAGAAAGAGGGCCTCTCATGGGCTCCTTGGTGAAAACTGAAGCCCACTGGAAAATGAAGAGAATTTCTACAATAAAGGCACACCATACCAGCATGGTTGGTAAGTTGGAGGGATCATCACTTTCTGTCAGAACTTGGACTATCCTCAGGGGAAGGGCAGTTGGAATCTTCATTAGAATGTTGCAGAGTTTATTCCTGCAGGAGGTCAGGGAGACTTAGGCCTTGAAGCCAGAAATCAGCTTGATCTCAGGGGTCTGCTGGGGCAAATTCCTAGCAAATTTCTAGGAAAACAGAAAAAGTTCAAATAAACCACCTAATGATGAACTAAAAAAATTACAAAGAACAGAGCAGAAATCAATGCAATGGAGACACAAAACCAAAAGCCAAGGAATTGAGGAGTTGGTTTTTCGATAGAATAAATAAAATCAATAAACCCTTAGCCAATCTTATAAAAAAATGTAAGGAAAAGGCTCAAATGAATGCAATTAGGAAGCAAAAAAGATGAAGTTACAACAAACCCAGCAGAAATCCAGAGGATCATCAAAACCTACTTTGAGTACCTGTATCCTAATAAAATGGAGAACATAGAAGAAATGGACAGATTTCTAGACATATGAATTATCCAAATTGAGCAAAGAAGATGAAAAAATTTTAAATACCCCAAATACAATCAGGGAAATTGAAACCTAATTAAAATTTTACCATCAAAGAACAGCTCAGGTCCTGATGGTTTCACTGCTGAATTCTACAAAACATTTAGAGAAGAATTGTTGCCACTATTCACTAAACTTTTCAATGAAATTGAAAGGAAAGTACTACTTTCAAATTCATTCCTGCAAGCATTATTTTGATTCCAAACTCATGGAAAGACCCAATCAAAAAGAGAACTACAGGCCTATATCCCTATTAAACATAACTGAAAAAATCCTCAATGAGATACTGGCATACAGAATACAGAGGATCATCAAGAAGATCATACACCCTGACCAAATTGTATTTATTCAAGGGATGCAAGTACAGTTCAACATATGTAAATCAATAAATGTTATACACTATACTAACAGAGTCAGGGACAACAAACATGATTATCTCAATAGATGCAGAAAAAATCATTTGACAAAATTCAACACCCATTCATTATAAAACTCTGCAGAAAATTGGAATAAATGGTTTTGTCTCAATTTGATAAAGACTCTCTATGAAAATCCAAATTCCAACACCATTCTAAATGGTCAAAAAATGAAAACCTTCACATTAAAATTAGGAACAAGACAAGGACATCCACTATCACCACTCCTGCTCAATATAGTTCTGGAAATATTAGCCACAGAAATTAGTCAATAGAAAGAAATAAGGATAGGAAAGGAAGAAGTGAAACTGTCATTATTTGCTGATGATATGATTATCTACAAAACTCTGCCAAAAGACTTCTAGACTTAATTGACAGATTCAGGAAAGTAGCTGAATACAAGGTAAATCTTCAAAAATCAATAGTTTTCTTATACAAAAATAACAGACTCACTGAGAGAGAAATTAGGAAAAAATTCCTTTCACAATAGCACCCCCAAAATGAAAAATCTAGGAAACAATCTAATGAAAGAAGCAAAAGACCTGTGCACCGAAAACTACAGTACTCTGAAAAAAGAGATTATGGGGGATCCAAGAAAGTGGAAAGACAGTCACTCTTGCTCTTGGATAGGAAGAACCAACAGAGTGAAAATGGCCATACTTCCAAAACTACTGTACAGATTTAATGCAATACAGATTGAAATTCCAACAGTATATTTCACAGAACTAGAGAAAATAATCCAAAAATTGACTTGGAATCAGAAGAGCAAAAGCCATTCTAGGCAACAGAGACATGGCAGAGGGTATTAAAATCCCCAATTTGAAACTATACTACAAAGCTACTGTGATAAAACAGCATGGTACCAGCAAAGAAACAGACCTGAGTATCAGTGTAATAGAATAGAAAAATGAAGAAACAACTCCAGGTGTACTCAATTACCTCATATTTGACAAAGGATCCAACCATCCTCAGTGGAGGAAAGATAGTCTACTCAGTAAATTTTCTTGGCAAAACTATATTTCAATCTGCCAAAGATTAAAACTAGACAGCTACCTTTCACCATGCACTAAACTAAAATTGAGGTGGATTCCAAATATAAATTTTAAATCAGAAACACCAAAGTTGCTGAAATATAAGTTAGGTAGAACTCTCAAAGACATTGGCATAAGAAAAGACTTGATGAATAAATCCTCAATAGCATGGGAGCTAGCACAAAGACTCAACAACTGGGATCTCATGTTATTGAAAAGCTTCTGCAGTGCGAGAGAAAGCACCTACAGAGCTAAGAGGACAACCTACAATGTGGGAAGAAATTTTTACCAGCTGCTCCTCAGACAAAGTTACATTCCTGGTATCCAAGTCCTTGGAGTCTCTTGTTTCACTCTGACAGCTCCATGCATTGCCCTTCCAGGGGCTCTTGTCTGGGACACATAGGTCTTCCACTGAAATATGGGTGGGAAACTTTGGGAGCCTGAACTCTTGCGCTCAGCATGCCTACCAAAGCATCATCATGTGGATGACCTCATGCTTTCCACCAGCTTATTCACTAGGTAGCGTCCCCACTTGTGCTATGGTAGAAGCAGCAGCTGAGTACCTGGATGTCTAAGCTCTTGGAAACTCTTCCCTAGGTAGCTCTGAATGAGTAGGGAGCCATGTGGTCTTCTCGCAATGCAGTCTTTCAAGACAGTTTATAATTTTATATGCTGAAGCATCTGATGGATGGGATCTATCCAATTTCTGAGTTGCCATAAAGCCATGTTTGCTATTATACTGTGCAAAATAGTTGGCTTTTTAAAACTGTAATTATTTATGTTGTAAAAACCATATCTTTTTTGAGGGGGTGTGACATAGTACTGGGCATTGAACCCAAGGTTTTACACTGAACTACACCCCAACCCTCTTTTTAATTAATATATTTTATGTAATTAATATATTTTAATTAATATATTATTGAGACAGGCTGTTGCTAACTTGCTAAATAGCCCATGTTGGGCTTGACCTAGCAATCATCCTGCCTCATCCTCTCAGAGTGCTGGTATCATAGGGGTATTCCACCACACACAGTTAGTAACTATATTTTCTTTGGCCCCGTCTTTATGTACATTTATTTTTTGGGCCAAACTACATGTTTTTCAAGTACTTCAATTCTATTATTTTGTGGATTTTGCTAAAGGCAGCCAGCAATACCTAAGCCATAGCCTAAAGGCTGTGTATCCTTGAAATCTCCTCCACCAGAATAACTAGTAGGCTACGTTTAAATTGAGCCTGTCAGCAAATTTTAGCTGCATGGCCAAATGGAAACAAATTATTTGCCAGAATGTAACAAAAATGGCCCCTTGTGTAAGTCCCAGTAGAATCCCAATTCCTGTCTGAAGACACTCCTTATTCCTGTCAGCATTCTGCTCTTCTGAACACATACCAGAATAGCTCATCCAGTTCTGATTATACTGATCCAGGCATTCTCGATGCGGGTTATCCAAACCTTTTCAAATTCCTTGCAGGAAGGCAATCTAAAAGCTTCCAAACCACATGGGTACGTAGAGCCACAGCAAGTACTCCACTTCCCTGTACCATTTCCATTCATTTCAGAAAAGTTTCTACAGATTTCTTTGCTTAATAAATGCAAAGGAAATTTACAGAAAATGTTTTTATTTGACGAATAAAATATTATTTTCTTCATCTCAATCGTCACGAAAATTCCTGATACACTAGCAGTATTAATACTTATTTTTAAGTAGTAGTAGCAAAGTAATTTATTTTATTAAAATTTCATTAATATCAGATGTAAAACTGGCAAAAAAAGTAAAATATGGTAAATACTAAGAAAATTCATTTTAAAATGTTACTCTCTTATGGCAAAGTAGAAGGATTTCCACTATGAATTGCTTTTCTAATGCTCTTTTTGGTTAGTAAAGATGTGCTATATATGTGAATTAAAATTTAAAAATTAGCTACATATGAAATTGTTTTAATATTAAATTATGGCAAAATATCAATATAATTTAAATGCAAAATTTTCCTGTAATTGTCTATTTGTGGCTATATATTTAAACTTGTTAAAGTGTATTCATTACAGTTTTTATTTTTGTGTGGGTTTTGAAAGTTAATATATTTTAGAAATTTGTTCAGAACTATGTTTACATTTCTTTATTTTAATTTTGGGGATGCACCTTTATTCTTAGAGTAAAACATTATTTACTTATTGATTTTTATCAGTTTTATAAATGACATGTAAATGCATAAAGTAGTACATATTAATGAGCTATTATGTAATGTTCTTATACATATATACATATATACACATATATGCATACACACATATACATATATATACATATATACATACATTAGACTTGAATAGAGTGAAAATAATGATGAACATACTCATTTACTCCAACATTTAGCATCTCTTCATGGTAAAACTTTCAAAAACTTTTTTTCTAGCTTTCTAAAACGTACAGAGAATTACAGTTGTTTATATTCGCTCGATGACAGCTTACCACATTTCCTTGCTCCCATGTCACTAACTTAGCCTCCATGGATTGACCTATGCCCTTTCCTACACCATTCTCATGCTTCCCAGGCTCTGGTAACCACCGTTCTGCTCTACATTCTATGGCTTTATTCATTCTATTTATAAGCAAGAGCATGTGTTGGTTATATTTCTATGCCTGTTTTATTTCATGGATAAAGAAGATGTGGTTTTTCTATAAAATGGAATATTACTCAGCCATAAAGAATGAGAA